ACACGACACGCGATGCACCAGAGCATATCAACACTCACCACAGGGGGGGTGCTGTCCTGATGCAACTCGACCCCCTCGGCCGTGGTGGCATAAAGCCTGGCCGTGGTCGATGGCACCCTCATGCAGAGGGGGTCTCCCAGAGGGATCGGAGTCTCCTCCCAGGTTGTAACCCGTGCGCATGTGCAACCTTTCCAGGACTTCCCTGGTGGTTGCATGTCCTGGCACTGGCAGCCTTATAACCTGCAGCTGCCCCACGTCGACTCGGTAGAGCCACTCAGGGGGTGGGAGAGGGTTCGGATCGGGGTTAACCTCTCCCGGCCTCCGTCTCCAGAAGGGAGTCGTCAGCCCCAGCAGGAGATGAGCGGTGGTGCCTTCCGGCTCCCCATCCAGGCCCATTGTGCCGGCTGGCTCTGGGGGTGGGGCCTGATCCGTACATGTCTACTCTGGCGGCATGGGCGGGAATCGACCGTGAGAGGAGAGACTATCTGGGACGGTGGCACATCGTGGAGGCCGCTGATGTGTATGTGAGGTCCGCATGGAAGGTGGTCAGCTCGCTACAGGCATTTGTCGTGCATGCACTTGCCACTGCCATCGAACTCTGCAAGGTCGGGGTCAGTGAAGCTCAGGAGCGGCTTCAGGACAACGGTTGTGGAGACGTAATGGCGAGGGACTTATCTGAGTCCTTGCTTACTCCTGCTACTTGGATGGGCTGGAGATTGTCCTTTATTAGCAGTCGCCCAGCTTTGCCTATGGTCGATCGCCCGGCACCGGGGGCTGATCCGGAACCTGCTGCACAGGACTTTAAATTCTTTGTGGCTGTTTTGGGCAAGAGGTCGCTTCGACGGCTTCATCGCAAGGGCGGCTGCGGGACCAAGCCAGGTGATCTGATTCGTTGCGAGTTTTACGATTCCTTAGAGGGGGTCGAGTATGATACTGAGTGCAAGCACTGTTTCAAGCCGGAACCCTCAGCGGCGATTCTTTCGGAGGAGGCTGAGGCTTCGGATGAAGGCTCGTCGAGCACGTCGCTCGAGGATCTTTCGGGTAGTAGCAGCTCCAGTTCCTGAGAGCGGGGCTGGGTCGCCTGAGACAAGAAGGCTGCGCCGAGCTATCGTGGGGCTGTGTCGGTGATCTTATCGCGTGTTTTACATTTCTTTGGAGCCCTTGTGGGCTGGGGTCGTTTGTGCAAATTCTACTTCGCGATTCAACATGCTGGTTGCATGTCGAAGTGTCAAGATGTTGATTCGTGGAGATTACATTCCGTGGTTCAACATGCAGATTGGAAGTCGTGCTTATCGACTTTGATCGGGGAGGTTTCCTCGGTTGTGATTGTCATGTTCGCTGCACAATGCATCATTGGATGGAGTTGGAAACAAAGACTTCGTGTGCGCAGCTTGATCGGTTGTGCAATTGCACGGGAACCGTTCAGAAAGAAGGGGGCCGGTCGGGTCAACTTCGGATGGGCCCAAGCTAGATTGTGTGTGGACCCAATGACGCCTGAGCAGCTAGCAAGTCTGGAGCGCCTGAGCACCGACCTCCGATTCCACCTTGATCAAGCTGAGGTGGAACCAAAGTGGCAGGCTCGTTTTGGGGCCTTGGGGATCATTTCGATCCCCCTGTTTGCTGGGCTTGATGAGGACCGTGAAAAGGTCCGGGGGGCCCTGGCGGCGGACCTCCCTTTACCATATCAGGACAGCGTGGCACAAAGGCTGGAGATGGCTCGCATCCTTAGTGCTTGGGAGGCTGTGAAACTTCATCTTGAAGTCAGCGAGAAGAATCGCGCGGAAGCTCGATTGGGCACCCAACAGAGGTTGCTGCAGCCTAATGAGCAGCACAGCATGAGAGTGGCCGTCGAGACAGTCTTGGGAAAACTTAAGGACAAAGAGGTGCCCTCGCGTTCGCTTTTGGCTGCAAAGCTGGAGCAGATCGAGTCAAATCAACCAATCGTCGAGAACCTTCAGGAAGTTGCTTCACTTGAGGATAGTGAACTCGAGACTTACTCGGCGGTCATCGATCCGATGACGAATGTCTTGAAGGTGAAGCCGGGCAAAACCTTAACTTCCTTGCCCCAAACTCCCGAGGAGCTGCGACTTCGTCACCGGCGTATCGGATTAGCTTGGGACTTCTTGGCTACCAAACACTCGAGCCGTCCTTGGCTTTCGAGGAACATGACTGATATCTTCAGGCGCTTTAGTGACTACATCCTCGGGTCGCAGGTGGCTGGATTGCTTACGGGAGATGGCCGCAAGCCTACGTGGTCTTTGATCCTGCAATTCGAACATGAGGCTCGGAAGGCAGCTTACAAGTGGCTGAGGGATGGTGAAGTGCCAACTCTCGAAGCCGCTTTCAGCCGGGCTATGGTGGACACTGAGGTTCTTCAGCGACATCTCATCATCCCTTTCACGTTGAATGTCACAGCCCGGCAGAGTGATGATATGCCCAACTCTTGGGTGGAACGGCCCGGTCGCGGTCGCGGAAAAGGCCGTGGAAATCAAGGACGGGGTTCTCAAGGGCGTGGCGCTCGGAACCAGCAACTCAAGCAGCAACCCGATCCCACCGAGCATCGTGGCAAGTTGACTAAAGATGCAAATGGCGAGCCCATTTTGTTGGAAGTTCAATCGAAAGGGCGGCTGCACGAATGATCAGTGCCGCTTCAAGCATGTGTGCCAACGATGCCTCTCATCATCGCACCCTTACTTCAATTGCCCGATGGTTAAGCGCCCCACCGGGGGCAACTGACTTGAGGCTGGTGGTGCAATGGATGAAGATGAGGCTGGGTGGGAGCCTGGCGAACTTTGCATGCTCTACGTGTACGCTGGTCCGCCCTTTAAGGGCGATCTGGTAAGCTGGCTCGCGAAAGAATCGCATGGCCGAACTTTTCATGTGGAGGAATTTGATATGTCCTGTCTCGAGGACGATCTCGACGAATCTCGCTGGGATGCATTGCTGCATGACTTTGGGCAGTCACGGTACAACGGATCTCAGCAGACAAGCCTGCGCCATCTGCGATCCCTTTTTCATAAAAGGACCGCGAGCTTGAAGCGAGCATTTTCAAACTTGGTTTCAAAAACTTGGCATGGCTTGTTTTTGCACGTGACAATTTTTGCATTGACCTCAGCGCATCGCCTCGTTTGGTCTTGATGACACAACCTTGGTATGCAGCAGCTCAGTGCTCGAGCTGAGTTGTGAAAGAATTTTCTGTGAAACTTGGGCTTGAGACCCTAACTGCTCCTGCTTTTAACCGGGCCCCTTTTCTGACGTTCCCTCTTAGAGGGTGTGCAGGCTGGTCTCGTGTGACCAGCGGATGGACTCGAGCTGCAGAAGGGGGCCTGCTCTGCTGCTTGTCACTGCTCAACCTGAGCTCTGGCAGTGCGTTGTTGGTTTTCTGAGGACTCACCGCGCTCGCTCCTTGCGAGCGACCTGTGCTTTGCTTCGGCTGCAGCATCGCCTCTTTTGGGTCTGACCTGCCGGGTTCAGTGACTCTTCGGATTATTCCATTGAGGATTAAGCTTTCAGCTTTCATGGCCTCCGGCTCCATGCCCCCTGCATCTTCTGAAGGTGGGGTTTCTGAGGCAGGTGACAGTCGCCGGAGGGATGCCGCCATGGCCTTTGGGTCGTACGAGGCACATTTGGCGTCTTGCATGCGCAAGTTCAATAAGACTGGGTTTGTCCGATCCTGGGATTTTAAACTTAAGCCTTCTGCCAACTTGTTTGCCGGTATGGCACGTGCCAGCGGGCCCATGCCGCCTGTCATGTCTGTGCCAGTGCCCAAGATGGTGTCTTCCCAGGTTACCGTTGCTTCAGTTGTCAAGCTTGTCCTGGGCAGGGTCAGGCTGCAGGATTCTTGGAGTGTGCACCTTGACAAGAAGCTGCGTGCTGCCATTCAGAAGTGGGTGTCTATCGTCCTCGAGGATCCACTCACCTTTGATGTTGGCCGCAGGTGTGCTGCCGCGTCCTGCCAGGATTCCGCAGTCTCGCAAGGTTTGCTGCACACCTTTTCGGGCAAAGCTGCGGGTACACTGCACAATCGTGCGGGACCGTTGCTCCGTTTTGTGGCGTGGGCCAAGAAGCGGCGTCTCCAGCCGCTGCCACTGAGAGAGAAAGACGTGTATGAGTTCCTGCTTGATTTGGAGGATTCCAGAGCGCCGTCTTTCGGCAAGGCACTCATGTCATCGTTGGCGTTTTGCAAGTTCGTTTTGGGTGCTGAGTCTTTCTCGGACTCCCTTTGCAGTGGCCGCCTTACAGGGCTTGCGCGTGCATCTTTTCTTAAAAAGAGGAAGAGGCGACAGAAGCCGCCACTCACCGTTGCTATGGTCAAGAGGCTGGGGCGCCTTGTTGTGGATGAGTCAGATAATGATGTGGACAGGCTGTGCGCAGGCTTTTTCTTACTCTGCATTTATCTTCGTGCTAGATACAGTGATGGCCAGGCCCTGATGAATCTGGTTTTGGATGAGCCGGACTCTTTCATGGGACCACTTGCAGGGTACTTTCAAGGTGAGACTTCAAGGACGAAGACCAGTTTCTCCTTGGAGAGGAAAACAGCATTGCTTCCTATGGTGGGGCCATTGTGCGGGGTGGCGTCCGTTCCTTGGTTCAGGACGTGGATGAGCCTTCGTGAGGACCTCGCCATTCCCGAGGGAGAAGATTTTCCTCTCCTGCCCAGCCGTGGTCAGGAGGGCGGATGGTCGGGTGTTCCGCCCACGGCCACTGTAGCCGCTGGTTGGTTGCGCGGGATTTTGTCTGCCAGAGGTTTCCCTGAAGCCTCAAAGCTTGGTACTCACAGCTGTAAGGCTACGACCTTGTCTTGGATGTCAAAGTACGGTGTTGATGCACTGCACCGGAGGATTTTGGGATATCACAAGGCTCCGCAGGATGAGATGATGCACATCTATGGGCGTGACAATGTTGCGCCTGCTCTGAGGTCTCTTGAGTACGTGCTCGCCGATATAAGGATCGGCAAGTTCCTCCCGGACACCACACGTTCGGGCTATTTTCCAACTGATCCCGAGCGCGAACCATCTTCTATGAGGATAGGGAGGGTTCTCAGAAGGGTACTTCTCAGTGTGTTTAACCCTATTCAACAATATTCAGAAATGTTTGCATTTCTGCTTAAATATTCGGAAATATTCCGTTTTCTTCGGTAAACTTCCATAATATTCTTCATTCTTCCAGGTTCTTCACCATTATTCTTAGATCTTCGTAAATCTTCGAAATTATTCGAAACTATTCGAAATTATTCGAAACTATTCGAAATTATTCGAAATTATTCCAAATTATTCCAAATTATTCGTTGTATCTGCGGAGAACTTCAAACACTTTTCTAGACCATTCTTCTCAGATCTTCGTAAATCTTCGAAATTCTTCGAAATTCTTCCAAATTCTTCGTTGTTTCTGCGGAGAACTTCAAACACTTTTCTAGACCATTCCTCTTAGATCTTCGTAAATCTTCGAAATTCTTCGTTGTATCTGCGGAGAATTCAAACACTTTTCTAGACTTCTGCTTGTTTCCCCCAGCTGAAACCGCCAGCTCGCACCCTGTTCGGAAATACATATCCTATAGGAAATTACAATTCGCACCGTTGTTTTTCTTGGATTCCAAGCACAAATCCTATGGGAAATTACAATTCGCACCCTGTTCGGAAATACATATCCTATGGGAACTTACACTTCGCACCCTTGTTTTTCTTGGATTCCAAAAACAAATCCTATGGGAAATTACAATTCGCACCCTGTTCGGAAATACATATCCTATGGGAAATTACAATTCGCACCCGTGTTTTTCTTGGATTCCAAGCACAAATCCTATGGGAAATTACAATTCGCACCCTGTTCGGAAATACATTAAGTAGACTCTGTTTCTTGGCATCCAGGTACAGCATCCTATGGGAAATTACAATTCGCAGCCTTGTTTTTCTTGGATTCCAAGCACAAATCCTATGGGAAATTACAATTCGCACCCTGTTCGGAAATACATTAAGTTGACTCTGTTTCTTGGCATCCAGGTACAGCATCCTATGGGAAATTACAATTCGCAGCCTTGTTTTTCTTGGATTCCAAGCACAAATCCTATGGGAAATTACAATTCGCACCCTGTTCGGAAATACATATCCTATGGGAAATTACAATTCGCACCTGCTCGCACCCTGATTAGCGCTTGTGTTTCTTGGATTCCAAGTACAAATCCTATGGGAAATTACAATTCGCACCCTGTTCGGAAATACATTAAGTAGACTCTGTTTCTTGGCATCCAGGTACAGCATCCTATGGGAAATTACAATTCGCACCCTTCTTTTTCTTGGATTCCAAGCACAAATCCTATGGGAAATTACAATTCCCACCCTGTTCGGAAATACATATTACAATTCGCACCTTGTTCGGAAATACATATCCTATGGGAAATTACAATTCGCAGCCTTGTTTTTCTTGGACTCCAAGCACAAATCCTATGGGAAATGACAATTCGCACCCTGTTCGGAAATACATATCCTATGGGCAATTACAATTCGCACCGTTGTTTTTCTTGGATTCCAAGCACAAATCCTATGGGAAATTACAATTCGCACCCTGTTCGGAAATACATATCCTATGGGAAATTACAATTCGCACCCTTGTTTTTCTTGGATTCCAAGCACAAATCCTATGGGAAATTACAATTCGCATCCTGTTCGGAAATACATATCCTATGGGAAATTACAATTCGCACCCTTGTTTTTCTTGGATTCCAAGCACAAATCCTATGGGAAATGACAATTCGCACCCTGTTCGGAAATACATATCCTATGGGAAATTACAATTCGCACCCTTGTTTTTCTTGGATTCCAAGCACAAATCCTATGGGAAATTACAATTCGCACCCTGTTCGGAAATACATATCCTATGGAAAATTACAATTCGCACCCTTGTTTTTCTTGGATTCCAAGCACAAATCCTATGGGAAATTACAATTCGCACCCTGTTCGGAAATACATATCCTATGGGAAATTACAATTCGCACCCTTGTTTTTTTCACAAATCCTATAGGAAATTTCAATTCTCACCCTGTTCGGAAATACATTAAGTAGACTCTGTTTCGTAACAACATGTTGTTGATTATTGTCGCATGTTTCAAAGCCGTGAACGCCGGGATGTGTAACAGTAAAAACAAGGAGCCTTGAGCCCTGAGCAAAAGTACTGGTAATTATTCCAGCTTCTTGGCTTCTGTCTCATTGATGATTCGATGTTTATGATGATGACTATAACGACGTTCTATGTGGATGATAACAACGATGACTGATGATGGCCGATGCTGATTATGATGACGATTGTGAATATGTCGTTGGCGATGTGTATGATGATATGTGATGATGATGTTGATGATTATAAAACCTGGGTTCTACGAAGAAGACTAGGGCTATGAAGACGATGATGGTGTTTTGATAATTATGACGAGCATGATGATGGTTTTAATAATTATGGCGAGGTTGGTGATGACCTTAATGGCGATTCTTCATATATTTATATCTGTTTACAGATATTACATATAGGTAGACACACACGTATATACATACATGTGTATGTATATACAGACACAAACAATATATATAGATACAGACATGTATACATATATATATACAGACATGTTTGTGTATCTTCATATATATCTATATATACGCACCTATAAATATATACACATGCATGTATATACGTATGCGCAATTATGTATACATTTGTATGTGTGTGTAAATGAGTACATACATAGGTACATACATACATGAATATATACATACATACATAGGCAGATACATCCATACATGCATACATACATAAGCACATGCATACACACACAGACACGCACACACACATAAACACCTACACATACGAACATACACACCTGCACACCCACACACACATGTACATACATACATACATACATACATACATACATACATACATATACATGCATACATACAAACATACATACATACACACGTATATACATACATCTAAACCCTAGGCCCTAAAACCTAAGGCCCTAAACCCTAGGCCCTAAACGTAAGGCCCTAAACCCTAGGCCCTAAACCTAAGGCCCCAAACCCTAGGCCGTCAACCTAAGGCCCCAAACCCTAGGCCCTAAACCCTAGGCCCTAAACCCTAGGCCCTAAACGTAAGGCCCTAAACCCTAGGCACTAAACCTAAGGCCCCAAACCCTAGGCCCTAAACCTAAGACCCCAAACCCTAGGCCCTAAACCTAAGGCCCTAAACCCGAGGCCCTAAACCTAAGGCCCCAAACCCTAGGCCCTAAACCCTAGGCCCTAAACCCAAGGCCCTAAACGCAAGGCCCTAAACCCTAGGCACTAAACCTAAGGCCCCAAACCCTAGGCCCTAAACCTAAGGCCCCAAACCCTAGGCCCTAAACCTAAGGCCCTAAACCCTAGGCCCTAAACGTATGGCCTAGGGGAGGGGGGGGGGAGGGGCTGAAAATCGGGCAGCATTTCCTTCCCCCAAGCATGCCGGTAGAAAGGGGAAAAAAAGAGAAAAAAAACAAACCTCAACCGAATAAAAGGTAGAAAAAGGTAGAAAAAGGTAGAAAAAGGTAGAAAAAGGTAGAAAAAGGTAGAAAAAGGTAGAAAAAAGTAGAAAAAGGTAGAAAAAGGTAGAAAAAGGTAGAAAAAGGTAGAAAAAGGTAGAAAAAGGTAGAAAAAAGGTAGAAAAAGGTAGAAAAAGGTAGAAAAAGGTAGAAAAGGTAGAAAAACGAAGAAATGGGGGATACCGTGTGTGTGTACAAATGAAAAAAAATGGTGTTGGGAACCAGGCATGTCTTGACAGACAGGCAGAAACCGGAAGATTTTGGAAGAAAATTGCAGAATTCCAACGAATCTAGAAGAATTTAGAAGAATTTAAAAGCATGCAGCAGTCTTACGTAGAACAGGGAAGACTACAAGGCTTGCTCCAGACACTCGCACCAAAAGCATTTGCATGAATTTTGCATAAAAAACAAAAAAAATTCCTCGCTTCGCGAACATCCATATTTGTTTTCAACTCTAGTACTCCACACACACTACAAGGCTTGCTCCAGACGCCAGACACTCGCATCAAAAGCATTTGCATGAATTTTGCATAAAAAAACAAAAAAATTTCTTCGCTTCGCGAACATCCATATTTTGTTTTCAACTCTAGTACTCCACACACACTACAAGGCTTGCTCCAGACACTCGCACCAAAAGCATTTGCATGAATTTTGCATAAAAAAAACAAAAAATTCCTCGCTTCGCGAACATCCATATCTGTTTTCAACTCTAGTACTCCACACACACTAATTACAAGGCTTGCTCCAGATACTCGCACCAAAAGCATTTGCATGAATTTTGCATCAAAAAACAAAAAATTTCCTCGCTTCGCGAACATCCATATTTGTTTTCAACTCTAGTACTCCACACACACTACAAGGCCTGCTCCAGACACTCGCGCCAAAAGCATTTGCATGAATTTTGCATAAAAAACAAAAAATTTCTTCGCTTCGCGAACATCCATATTTGTTTTCAACTCTAGTACTCCACACACACTAATTACAAGGCTTGCTCCAGACACTCACACCAAAAGCATTTGCATGAATTTTGCATATAAAGACAAAAAGTTTCCTCGCTTCGCGAACATCCATATTTGTTTTCAACTCTGGTACTCCACACACACTACAAGGCTTGCTCCAGACACTCGCACCAAAAGCATTTGCATGAATTTTGCATAAAAAACAAAAAAATTTCCTCGCTTCGCGAACACCCATATTTGTTTTCAACTCTAGTACTCCACACACACTACAAGGCTTGCTCCAGACACTCGCATCAAAAGCATTTGCATGAATTTTGCATAAAAAAAAAAATTCTTCGCTTCGCGAACATCCATATTTGGTTTCGACTCTAGTACTCCACACACACTAATTACAAGGCTTGCTCCAGATACTCGCACCAAAAGCATTTGCATGAATTTTGCATAAAAAAAAACAAAAAATTTCCTCGCTTCGCGAACATCCATATTTGTTTTCAACTCTTGTACTCCACACACACTACAAGGCTTGCTCCAGACACTCGCGCCAAAAGCATTTGCATGAATTTTGCATAAAAAACAAAAAATTTCTTCGCTTCGCGAACCTCCATATTTGTTTTCAACTCTAGTACTCCACACACACTAATTACAAGGCTTGCTCCAGACACTCACACCAAAAGCATTTGCATGAATTTTGCATAAAAAAACAAAAAATTTCCTCGCTTCTCGAACATCCATATTTGTTTTCAACTCTGGTACTCCACACACACTACAAGGCTTGCTCCAGACACTCGCACCAAAAGCATTTGCATGAATTTTGCATAAAAAAACACAAAAATTTCCTCGCTTCGCGAACATCCATATTTGTTTTCAACTCTAGTACTCCACACACACTACAAGGCTTGCTCCAGACGCCAGACACTCGCATCAAAAGCATTTGCATGAATTTTGCATAAAAAAACAAAAAAATTCTTCGCTTCGCGAACATCCATATTTTGTTCTCAACTCTAGTACTCCACACACACTACAAGGCTTGCTCCAGACACTCGCACCAAAAGCATTTGCATGAATTTTGCATAAAAAAACAAAAAATTTCCTCGCTTCGCGAACATCCATATTTGTTTCAACTCTAGTACTCCACACACACTACAAGGCTTGCTCCAGACACTCGCACCAAAAGCATTTGCATGAATTTTGCATAAAAAAACAAAAAATTTCCTCGCTTCGCGAACATCCATATTTGTTTTCAACTCTAGTACTCCACACACACTACAAGGCTTGCTCCAGACACTCGCACCAAAAGCATTTGCATGAATTTTGCATAAAAAACAAAAAAATTCCTCGCTTCGCGAACATAGCAAAGGGTTTCAATTTTCCACACACATAGTCTATTACTCTGTTACTCCATTACTCTATTATTCTATTACTCTATTACTCTATTACTCAAATACTCTAGTACTCTATTAGTCTACTACTCTATTATTCTATTACTCTATTACTTCACTACTCGATTACTCATATTTGTTTTCAACTCTAGTACTCCCACAAAGTGGGTGTTTTCACCCAAACCCTAAACCCTAAACCCTACACCTTTAGACCCGAACAACCGTAAGCCCTAAACCCTAAACCTTTAAACCCTGAACCTCGGAATTTGGCACCCTAAACTTTGTGGGCCCCGAAGCTGACCAATACTAGACCTAGAATCTTTAAACGCTAAACCTCGGTGTTCCATTTTGGCAGGTCCTCGAGCCGTGCCAGGAAGCCTAAACCATGAGCCCTAAACCCTAAACCGTGTTTAAGCCTCAAATTGAAACCCTCACATAATTCGCATTTCTGCCACAATCTTCCAAATAATTTGTTTTTCTTCAATAATCTTCCAAATAATTCATTTTTCTTCAACAATCTTCCAAATAATTCGTTTTTCTTCAACAATCTTCCAAATAATTCAACAATCTTCTTAAATCTTCGGTAGTGGCTGAGAAGTACCCCTGCTGAGAAATACCCCTAGGCTCATGAATGAAACCAGGTCCGGAGTTCAATGATGAACCGTCGGCCTCGGAGGCGTCACTGGACGAAGAGGACAACGTTCAGGACCTTCGTGCTGAAGAGGCTGCGGCTGATGAGATCATACCGCCTTGGGCCGAGTTATCTGTGGGAGACCCTGATGCCCATGTGTACATCAGGCACATCACTTCCCGCAAGCTTCACCGTCTCGCTGATGAGGGCGGGAACCGACTCCGCTGTGGGAAGAGGTGCTCAAAGAAGTTCGAGCGTCTTGCTGAGAGGCCTAGGTTTATGGCAGATATGTGCCAAAACTGTTTCAAGTGATTTGCGCACTTGTGGAAGCCGGTACACGCGGTGCTCGCCGGAATCACTCGGTGATGGTTTGATGTGCTTGCGCACTTGTGGTTTGCCGGACTGCGCGGCTTGGAAGTGGATGAGCTGGACCCACTCGGCTCACTTGTCAGACCCTTGCGGGTTTCATGATGTGCGTGAGTGCGTGATGCCACCGGTCCACGCGGTGGCACATGTACGAATTTCGGGCACTGGCCTGGTTTTGATGTGGCACCGACTTACTTGTCTGGTGTCATGCGAGTTTTTAGAACATGACTGAACACGAGTGTCGTGTGAAATACTTGCCGGGCGCCGTCAAGTATGTGTTATCGTGCTGAACTTGTGTCCGACAGTCAGCGGTTTGCAAGTGCATTTGTCGTTTGCGGTGAGTGTGCACTTTGGCTGGAGACCCCATAGTGCCTTGACAGGTTTTGTGCCATGGCCGTCACAGAGAGCAAGGCAAACTTCTCTTCGAGGGCGAAGGCTCTTGGATTGGAGGATCCGGTGCTGGTGAAGTTCGTTGACGCTGGCATTGATGGCATGAGCAAGTATGCTTTCCTGAGCTCATACGTGCCCGGGAGCACGGATGAGAGACCATTCACTGCTGCCATTGTCAAAGTGCTTGGGCGTGACCCTTCGATTGCGGAGCTCAGTGTGCTTCGCCGCTTGCTGCATGAGAGCTACAACTTAACTGTGTCTGAATTACAATCACAGGTTGAAAGGACCGATGACTCTGCTCCGAGAAAGCTCGCAGCGCCCGACCGGGCCGACAGGTTGCAGCGACAGCAGGTTCGGCTGAGTGGTTTGACGATCCACGGCCCGACTCTTCCGGGTCATGCCGTGATTGATAAGTGCGTTCAGATGTATGAGGATAACGTGCTTCATTACTTGCCGCCTCAGTCGTGCCCTTGCCGTGATGATGAGGTCAAGTTCAAGAAGGATCGCGATGATAAGATGTTGTCTGTTGATGGTGCCGGTCATGTGTCGCTACGCACCCAGGTTGCAAAGGTTGATGCTGATGTGTCCTCAGACCTTCTCCTCAAGCTTGCCTTGACCCGTCGAGGTTTGGCCCTAGACCAGGCAAGGATAGTCACCTTTTCGGAGCACGAGCGGTGGGTGGAAGCACTTTTTACCGCGCGTTTCAGGGATCCACCTGACAACTATGCACGTGTGACGCTGCAGCAGCTTATGCAGGCTGATCGGCAGCTGTTTGTTGAAGCAGCAGATCGCACTCGGCATGGAATCCAACTTGTTTCTGACGGCAAGCCAGTTGATAAGATTTGGAACGAGGCAATGAATTGCAATAATGTCACACACCTTTTGCAGCCTTTGGTCGCAGCCCCTCCGGCTCCTTTCAGGCCTGGCCCGTACGATGACCGAAGGCCCTGGAAGGGCAAGGGGAAAGGCAAGGGTAAAGGAAAGAGCAAGAACAATGTCCGTATGCCCGCTGAGCTTGCAGACGGAGTTCCGTCCACGACTCGCGGATTGCCAATCTGCTTCGACTTTAACTTAGGCCGTTGCCAGAGAGCTGTATCCAATGGGAAGTGCGAGCGAGGACTCCATGTCTGCTGCATCAAAGGATGTTTCAAGAGAGATCATGGATACACGGCGTGTCCCAAACGCAAGAAGGATTGACTAGGTGTGCAATCCATGGACCAAACGACTGACGAGAAAGATGCTGCACAGAGCGGTGAGCCTCTCGTGCGCTCTTCTTCTGAATGCAGTGTCCCTGAAGGGGAAGTTTTGCATGCAGGTCCAAATGGGTTGCCTTCCGCTGAAGAATTCGCTTCAAGTCTGATTGGGAAGTGGATTGAACAGGCTGATGTTTTGAAGCTTTTCGATTGCCTCCCGAAAGCTGCGCCGCAACGCGGCTCCGGTGGCGGCATTTCTTTTGCCACTGGGGCCTTTGCCAAGGTCAAGGTGGGACTCCGGAGCAATGTCGCTGTTTTTCCAAAGTCAACGCAGGTGCTGGCTGCTTTTGTAAGGCAGTCTGCTCCTGCCCACAAGTTCACAACCGTCGTGCTTTCTGATGGTGTTCGCACGGCCCCGCATCGTGATCAGCAGAATTCCTTCTTGCCTAATTTGGCCATTCCCTTGTCCCGTTTTACTAAAGGTGCAATTTGGGTGCAATCCAGCAAGGGTCCCCACACTCGGACTGTTGATGGTGCAACCCTTCAAGGGGTGGCATTGCCTGTGTCGGATGGCCCTGTCCTGTTTGATGCACGCAGGCAGACGCACCTCACTGATTCGTGGCAGGGCAGGCGGGTCATTTTGGTTGCTTTCTCTATTTCGGCCTTTGATAAGCTGTCTCTCGAGGCCTCGCAACGCTTGATTTCACTTGATTTTGCTTTGCCAACCGAGCCAGAGGTCGAGCACTTCCGTGAGCACCCACAGCTGCCTGCTCGCCTGCCGTGGCCACCGCGTTTCCCTCTGCTGTCGGGTGCTTCAGCAACCAAGGCTTTTACCGAGGCGTTGGTTCCCAAAGAACCACTTTTTCTTGAGCTATGTGCCGGCGCCGCCATGCTTTCTCGCTGCTTTCGTGAAGCGGGTGTGCCTGTCATGCCCATTGATCACCAGCACAACCGCCATCATCCGTTGGCGCAGGTTTGCAATCTCAGCTTGACCGAGGAGTCCACTTGGGTCTTCTTGCGCAATGTGGTGCGTGATCATCCTATACTCTTCGTGCACGCTGCCCCGCCTTGTGGCACGTGCTCCGCAGCGCGCAACATAAAGCGAAAAGGGGTGTCCGTGGCCCCGCTTCGCTCTCCTGAGCATCCCATGGGTTTGCCTTCGCTGACTGGTGTCAACCTTGACAAGGTCGAGGCTGCAAACAAAATTTACGTTGGCCTTGCCCAGTTTCTTGATTTGCTTTGCAGGTCCAACATCCCATGGACAGTTGAAAATCCTGAGTCAAGCATGCTTTGGCAGCTGCCCTGTTTTGCTCATTTAGTAAAGAATTTTCCGAGGGTCAATTTCGACATGTGTTGCTATGGTGGTGCACGATTGACCCACCGTACGCTGCTTACTTCTTGTGATGCCATCGAACATTTTCGCCAGCGCTGTCCAGGTGGGCACGACCACCTTCCGTGGAAGCCACAGCGCCGCGCTGATGGCACGATGTCTTTTCCTACTGCGCAGGAGGCAGCCTACCCCAGGCCCTTTTGCCAACAGTTCGTGGCGCTGGTCTTTAGGCACTTGGGTCGTCCCTTGCCTGTGCATCCTACTGCGGCCACGTCTGCCGCTGCTGCCACTTCTTCTGCTCGGCAACCTCGCGGGCGTAAGCTGCCTCCTGTTATGCCTGAGTTCAAGCGTGTGCTTGTCTACCAAGTTCATGCTCTGCCGCCTGTTGATTCCAAGCGTTGTATTTTGCAGCCCCTCCGCGATGCTCCTTCTGGGTCCAAACTTCTCTCTTCGACCTCTTTACTGCTAAGCGGGGGTGGTTCTGGGTCTTCGTTGAAGTTTTCCCGGGATGAAGTTGTGCACTCGGATAGTTCTAGCAGTGATGCCAGCAGTTGCGAATCCGTGCACGGTTCCGACAGTGATGCCTCCTGTGCGCGGACCTTGGAGCCTACTAGTGATGCGAGAGCTTTTGAGGTTCGCCTTGGTGTGTACGCCTCTCCCGATGAATTTCTTGATGGGTGCAGAAGGGTTACTCATCCTTTCGATCACCTGCATGCCGCTCCTGATCGTCTCAAACAATGCATTTTTGACATGTTGGTCAATGGGCCGACCTGGGTTGTGCAACGGAGGGCGGCCCTACTCAGGAAGTGGACGTCCTGGGCCTCCGACCTTGAAGGCGAGGAACGTGCTTTGAAGGAGGCGCTTGATCCTCAGGTCGCCAAGGTTTTGCAAGGAAAAAGGCTAAAGCTTCTGGAGCGTATCGCCGGCTCCCTTGGTTGGGTTGACATGAAGGTTTTCGATGAACTGCGCAATGGTTTTGACTTGGTGGGCCATCATGAACACACTGGAGTTTTCGCTCACGAGCCCAGGCCACCTAAGTTGGCCGAAAGTGATTTCATTAGTGCCGCGCAGTTTCTGCAGCCCGCTTTACTTGGAAAGATTCGTGCTTCTGCATCCGATGCGAATGCCCGCGAGCTGTGGGACAAGACTCTTGATGAGGTGGCTGATGGCATTCTTGAGGGACCGCTTTCTGCTGAGGAGTTGTTGTCTCGACACGGGCCGTGCTGGCTCCCTACTCGCCGGTTCGGCGTTGAACAGACTTCCTCCGCCGGCCGTAAACTTAGACCTGTTGACGATTTCACTGAGAACAAGGTCAATTTGGCCTTCGGCTCGATGGATAAGCTTGATCTTCACGCGCTTGACGAGTTGATTGGGATCAGCAGGTTGTGGATTCGGGTTCTGAACGGGCCGCCCGACTTCACAATCCCTCTTTCAACTGGTGAATCCTTGAGCGGTCGTCTGCACGACGGCTGGAAGAAGGTGGGGTGCGAGCCTCTCCTCACTACCTTGGACCTTCGAGCGGCTTATAAGCAATTTGCGGTTTCTGCGAAGTCGCGGGCCCTGGCAATAATCGCATTGCTTGACCCTTCTACTGCTGAGCCTGGACTCTTTGAGTCGAAGGCCCTACCTTTCGGGAGTTCCGCTTCGGTGCTTCACTTCAATCGCCTTGCGCGCCTATTCTGGCGCATCGGCGTGGAGCTGTGCGTGCCTTGGTGCAACTTTTACGATGACTTCCCTGTCATGTCTCCGAGTGGCATTGCTGACAACACCATGGAGACCATGATTGCCCTGTGTAACCTGTTGGGGTTTAGGTTCGCCTCTGATAAGCTTTCCCCTTTAAGGCCCAAGCCACGATGCTTGGAGTGGAGGTTGATTGCTCTCGCTTTTCTGAAGGCCTGGTCCTAGTCAGGAACAAGCCTGGCCGGGCCGAAGAGCTCATTGCCTCTCTTGACGAAGTCCTTGAGGAAGGTTTGATTTCTCGGAAGCGGTATCTAAGCTTAATGGGTCGCCTGCATTACACCGACTCGTACATCCTTGTCAAGGCTGGACGGCTCTTCATGGCCGAGGTCAGGTCGTGGGCAAAGTCGCTTTCTGGACCTGAGTTGAAGCTTGATGAGTGTGTTCGGAGTTCTCTTGAGCGGTTGCTGAAACGATTTCGTTGTGGCACTCCTCGCCATGTCCCTTGCTCTGTCGCCGATCACGTTGTGCACATTTACACCGATGGAGCGAGCGAAGGTAGCTCTCACACCGTGGGCGGGGTGTTGATGCTTCAGAATCAGGTTCACGCTTACTTTGGTTGCTCTGTCCCTGATGTCCTAGTCTCGCGTTGGGCTGACTCCATGTGTCACTTTATAGGGCCCATTGAGGCCTATGCCGTTGCCGTCGCGAGGAAGGCTTGGCACCAATTCATCGCGGGACACAGATGTATCTTCTACATAGACAATGTGCCAGCGCAAGACGCCTTTATCAAGGGCACCTCTGTCAATCATCACGTCAGGGACATCTTGTTGTCTGTCGAGGCGGCCGAAGAGCTCAGTGCTTCTTGGTCTTGGTTCGCCCGTGTAGCCAGCCAGAGCAATGTGGCGGATGCTCCGTCGCGTGGTGACTTCGCCGTTCTGCTTAATTCTGGGTGTCGTAGGGTTTGTCCCTCGTGCCCCTTGTCGGGTTGTGACCTTAAGGCCCTCTTGGCTCCCGCAAGGTTTACTAAGAAGGGGTGAAGGGGGTGGTCGCCAGACCGTGTTTCGCCCCGTGCAAAATGAAGGACAGTGCGATGCATCTTATGCCGGATTACTTGGAATCTTATTTTGCTTGTGATTGGATTCATTTGCAAATAGACTTTGAGTCCTTTTTCCCTTTGCATATGTTTGAAAATCCGATTATGAAAAGGATCTCAGCAGACAAGCCTGCGCCATCTGCGATCCCTTTTTCATAAAAGGACCGCGAGCTTGAAGCGAGCATTTTCAAACTTGGTTTCAAAAACTTGGCATGGCTTGTTTTTGCACGTGACAATCTTTGCATTGACTTCAGCGCATCGCCTCGTTTGGTCTTGATGACACAACCTTGGTATGCAGCAGCTCAGTGCTCGAGCTGAGTTGTGAAAGAATTTTCTGCCCGCCCTCCACTCCCTATGTGCTGCTCTGGCTCTCCGTGCCATTGAGCTTGCAAATTCTCATGTTGCCTACTTGGAGCGTTGAGCTCTCCTTTGAGCTCCACTTCAATTGCGTTGCGCCGCACTTGCTTTGCGTGCTGCCGGTGTTGAGCTCTCCTGTGAGTTCCACCTGTGCCTGCCGTAGGTGTTGCTGCGTAGTGTAGGTGTAGGCTGTGCCAAGTTAGCTGTGCTCAGCTGCTTGTGCTCTGCTGGTAGCCCGGCTTTTTGACCTGCATTCTGTTTCACTTGTGGTAGTCCGTAGCTGGCGTGCGTGCTACTGCACTCTTCCCACCCTCCTCACCCGCGCCCCCGAAGGGGGCGGTCGCCAGACCGTGTTTCGCCCCGTGCAAATGAAGGACAGTGCGATGCATCTTATGCCGGATTACTTGGAATCTTATTTTGCTTGTGATTGGATTCATTTGCAAATAGACTTTGAGTCCTTTTTCCCTTTGCATATGGTTGAAAATCCGATTATGAAAATTACTGTTTCTGTCCCCTCCTTCTTTCTCGTTTCATCGAAGCTGCTTTTCTTCTTCTTCTGGATCTCCCCCACTGCGAGACGAACGATGGCCAGAGGGCTTTCCTTGGCTGCGGGGCCGCTTAAAGGACAAGGCCCAGAAAGGCACTCTCCATATCAAGCGTGCATTGGAACTTGCGCAGATGGCGGACTCTATGAGAGTTCCGTGGCTTTGGGAACACCCGGAGCACCTTGGCACCACATCGCGAGGCGTTCCAGCCTCCGTCTGGACCTGGGCCGAAACTAAGAAATTCTTCTTGCGTGTGCAGGCCTCTTCTGTGGCTCTGACACAATGCTCTTATGGGGCCACGACAAGGAGACCAACTCGGATTGCCGGTACCTGGCCCAACTTGGGTTCCTTGGGCTTGCAGGGCTGGCCAGTGCTAGATCATGAAGGTCATTATCGCGGTCCGCTTCCTCGGAGTTGTGGCCATGATCATGAAGCTGCTCTTGCCTCTTTGGTTTACCCTGCAGCCCTGTGCCGCGCTTTTGCTAAACTGGCCTGGCAAGCAGTTACACCCTTCTCGGCCTCGGGACAGGGGGATTCTTCTTTACGGGCCGGGAAGGATACTTCAGAGAATGCTTGCTCTCCTTTGTCAAGCTCTACTTCGTCCTCCGATCCGGAGGCCTTGGCTTCTTCTTGGCATGTTCCGACAAAGCAACAGCTTTTGCGACTCTTCGACCTGCTGCCCTCCGACAACCCTTCGAGGGGAGAACTACAGGAAGGTTCCAAGGCCTTTACAGTTGGTTCTTACGCGGTCGGCGGTGGCCTCTTGGGAGTGCGGAAAGCTACAAGGCAATTCCCTGAAGTGACAAAGGCCCTTTGTCGTTTCGTGGACTCGCTTAAGCAAGGTTTTCAGTTTATGGCGGTTGCTCTCTTTCGAAATCTCCGCACCCTTCCCCACCGGGACCTGGGAAATCAACAAGGTACCTGCAACCTTGTTGCAGGTCTCTCTGGTTTTAGAGGGGGTGGGGTTTGGGTTTCTTCGGATTCGGGTTCGGTTCCTTGTCCGTTCGATGCCTTTTCGGAACTTGGAGATGTGCTTCCCACAGCCGGCACCTTCGCTGTGTTTGACGCCCCCCACGTCTCCATTGCACTATGGAGTGGAAAGGCTGCAGAACTGTGCTCGTTGCCTACACGCCGTATCTGGGTGAGAACATGGCTGCTCAGGACTTGGATTTTCTGCTTTCGCTGGGATTTCGCACGCCTGCGCAAGTCTCAGCTACGGACCGGCCTCCGCTTGAGAGGGTCCTGGAAGATAACGATGATGCTCCGGGGGCGAAGGACCTCTGGGGTGATCTTCCTAAGGACAAGTTCGACGATGACGTGGCATCGGACGGGGAGGCCGGCAGTACCTCGGAGGAAGATGAGGACGGACTGGCGAAGCCCGGCTATGGCACGGGCAAGCTAGGCTGGGGCCCGCCGCTTAAGACCAAGCTCATGGGTCGCTCGAGGTGGTTCGCCGATGGACACGGATTGGCGTCGCCCGGCCGCTGGCCCCCTGATCGGAGGCCCACGGGAGACAGTGATCTTGATCTCTCACTACACAAGGGGCTCATGGATGGCTTGCTCAAGCTGCTGACTGACTCTCTGGATGTGAAGCGGGAAATCTGCAAGCTGGCGACTGGTCGAGCCACATGCTCCCCCTTTCATCCGGATTTGCTGAAAGCCGGTCGCGATTTCGTCTTCAGCAAGCTACGTGGTGCTGGGACTTGTGAAGCATTGGACCACGTGCCGGAGCGGCAGCCATTTTACTTGGAGGCCATCGGGGAGTTACTCAGGTTGGCAGGGGATCCGGATTGGAGAAAATACACAAAATCTTCCTGCTCATTCGCTGCGGGCGTCCCGCTGGGAGTCGATGCTAGGCTCCCCCGGACCCCTGCCCTCTTCTTCAGAAAGACGAAGCACAGAACTTTCGAAGGTGCTGAGGATCTACTTTCGGAGGAGCTCCGCGCCAATTATCCTTCTGCCCGCGGTCATGAGGAGAAGATCGAAGAGCAGTTTGCCAAGGAGGTTTCGTTGGGCGCTATGGTGGAGATGTCGGTGGAGGAGGCTCGTGCTGAGTTCGGCGACACGCTTTCAGTGGCATCTCTTGGTGCCATACCCAATAAAGCCGACGACTCGGTAAGGGTGGTCCATGATGGGACCCATGGGCAACATGTGAATGATCGCATCAAGGTCCGTGATGCTCAAAGTTCTCCTACCGGGGGGGACCTGGCCACTGCCTTGGAGGAGCTCCCCAGTGCTTTCTTCTCCCTTTCGGGGGACATCAGCCGTGCGCATCGGCTGGTCCTTATGCGGAGGGCAGACTGGGCCAGACAAGCTTGCCGGGCCCGTAACAAGGATCGCGTCTTCTTGAATACGGTTGGTACATTCGGTATCTCCAGTGCGTCCTACTGGTGGTATCGCTTGTTCTCTGGCCTCGGGAGACTTCTTTACTATTGTCATGGTCAGGACGCAACCACTCTGTTAACTTATGTGGATGACTTGCTCTGGCCTACGCAATCTGCTCAAGGCTTGCCCCGAATCTTGGCTTCGATCTTCCTTCTGGAGATTCTGGGTGTTCCTTTCGCCTGGCACAAGTTCAGAGGTGGAGCGGAGCATGGCTGGATTGGCTTTTCCATTTCAGCACATCAGAGGCTTCTGGGCATTTCCAAGTCACGTTCGGATTGGATGATATGCTGGATACGAAAAGTCAAGGCTGATGGCTTCGTGAACGTTGCTGACATGGGAGCTGTGGTCGGGAGGC